AAGTTATATTCAAATTTAGCAAAAACTTGATTTTTATTTTTGGGGTAGTTTCCGCCCTTTCTACTGCAAAGCCCCCAATTATGCTTGCAACATCAAATACTTACGACATTAAACATCAAATTCACAGATTGGATAAATTTATGAATTTGTACTTGATTTTCTTCCATATGAATTGCTCTCCAGAGCTTTATTAGATATTCGTCTTCATTTAGTGCCAATCTTAGAATCTTCTGCTTATCTCCCTTCTCTATCTCTTTAGTTTCCTCAAGAATATTAAGAACGAATTTTGTAATCTTTCCCAAATTTGTATCGTCAAGCTTCCTTTTTTGTGGTAGGTGAGAGTATTCTTTATCGGCTTTATTGATCCATCGTTGCACTACTTCGTTATCAATATTTTCTTTGTTGGACGATGCTTCTTTGCAGTCTCCACCTAACATCAAATATAAAAGTTCAGTTTATGTTTTTATATAGAGTCAAGTTATTTTCTTAAAAAAAACTTACCAAGACAAATTACAACCTCACAAGCTAGAAGAGAGATGTGCTGAAGTTCATGATCACTCCAGCCACCATTTTTAGCAACGACAATTCTGTGCACCATTTTGTTACGCACATTTTTCTTAAAATTGCTCAATAATTCAATGGGATTTACTTTATATTTATCATGAAATAATGGCTCTTTTTGTTTCAAAAAAAGCTTAATATTCTCTATAATAAAATTTATTATAGATAGCAAATCGGCATTCCCAAAGTCAGCACTAATAGGAGGGTGTTGTTTGGCACAGAAAGATTTCACCACATTGAGGAAAATAAAACTTTCATTCTCAACAAAAAATTTATAAATCGCTTTCTCAACTAAATTAAGAAGTGGTTCGACGATCACTCCTTGTTTACTAGCAGTAAAAGAGAATGCTTGCTTTACTGGTGGAGTTATCTCACGAATTCGTTTGTTACTATTATTGTTGTAATTGTTGATAGTTGCACTACTTGAATCTTGTTGCCTAACAACAGACAAATATAACTTAGTCTTCTTGAAAATCGCAACTGGCCTAGCTAACCTAGTCTTTTGGGAGGATGCCTCAAACCAATTAAATATTTTTGTATGAGCCAGATTTTGACGGAAGGCTTCATCATGATACAAATTATCATGTAATGAGTCGCATAATGAAGATCGAGAAATCTTTAATGGGCAAATGCTATGTAGTTTGTCTAAAGTTGACTTTAGAGTGTCTTTAATATTTTTTTCAATTACGCCGGAGTATAACCAAGTAGAAAGTCGTTTGTTTTTAGTCATAAAGGAAGATCAATAAGAGCATCAATAAGTAAATTGACTTTTAAACGCGACGCATAAAGATATAAAAGAACTTGATGTTATACATACGACTATGGTGTGTTGTAAGTAGGGATGTTAAAAGTCGACTCCATGAGTCGAGTTTTAATCTTGACTCGGTCCCAAGTCAGGCTTGGACTGAGTCCCAATAGTCTTATTACACGATTAAAGGAAGAAGTTCATCTGATTGGCTGATGTAACTTATTTATATATTTTGTAACACAATGGTTTACTAACAAAAAATCGTCGCAAAAACCATTTATAACTTTAGAATAGTGCCAATATTCAC